ATTAATATTTAAGAAAAGAAAAAAAAAAGTTCTACAAAATTCTAATGAATCACTAAAAAGGAAGGCGGTACGGAAAAAAACTGTTTGACAGTCGTAGGAAAAGGAGAGAAATAAGAGGACAATTTCTAAAAACTCCTCGAAGAAACTCAGAGAAGCTTTTGAAATTTTTTTCCTGTTGGAAAATCAAACTGATTTTAACTATTTTAATGCCACATTCAAAAGAACCGTGATCGCTCAGGGGATAGAGTGCTCGCCTTTCAATGAGGGGCACCGAGTTCAAATCTCAGCGATGACTGGTCGATTCAAATATCGTACCCGACTCGCACCGACCACAGTGTAGACGTAAAATATCTTCAGTGGTAGATTGATCATGGGTTAAAGTCCCCTTGCCATCAGACTAACCGTGGAAGATTTTCGTGGTTTTCTCTCCATGTAACCCAAATGTGGGTTAGTTCCATCAAAATGTCCTCCACGTAGGCAAATTTCTGAAAATACTTGATCCAGGAGTTCCTTTGTCTTCTGGATTGGGTTCAAAATTACTAGGCTACGGAGTTAAACATTAGTTGTCATAAACCCAAAATTGAGTCAGCTGTTAAAAGATGGTTTTTATATGCCGCATTAAAACTTACTGGTAATAGTTTTTTTTTTTTTTTTTGTTTCTTTGCTTAAATATTTTCTGCTGACTCCCATGTACATGTGGCCACTATACATGCACAGAAATCAGTTATTCTACAGATTATATAATCTAGATAATGTGCACATTATCTATGGCGATCCATTAAAATACCGAAAATTGTTTCATTTCTCAAATTACCTCTCTAATATGTTAGACAATATTAAAAGTGAAAAAAAAAAGTTTTTTATTGGAACCGCAGCAACTTTTTCTGTACGTTTAAACTAACATAATGTTGTTTATTCATTGTTTGATATCGAAAAATCAAGTTAATACTATCAAACAATCAACAAAGTTGTTGATGAATAGTATCAATCATCAATCAATTTAATATCTGTGTTGCAAAGAATCGAGCGATTTAAGATAATATCGCATTTGAGTGGGAATTAGTATAATGAAATGAGAGATACAAACTTTTGAATTTTAACAATATTGAAGTCATTAATGCTCACATCACCTATGTAAAGTGTGGAAAACTCTTGATTCCGCTCTTTTACGGGGCAAATAATTTAGTCTGTAAGTGAACTAGATAACTGACGGCTTTCGAGTCTTAAAAATAACACATGTACTTATTACCTTCATTTCTGACAAAAATTCTAAAACTATTTAATCAATGTGGTGATTGCGGGGCAACCCTTTAAATGTTTCGTTTATAGCTGGACTCAATCTTTTCCCTCTGAATTTGCTTGTCCTCACTCAACTTAGTCATCTGACTTCCACATCGATAAATTGGTTATACACATCGCTCCCCCTAATGAAAATTCCATCAGGCTCCACCCCAATTCTTTATTTTATTGTTCACTGTTCCTCACGAGCCCCATCCCATTCAGAAAACTCCTCTCCTGTTTTGTGCTGTTACCACCAATTATAGCTTTCGACGCGACGTGTCTAGAATAATTTGCAATTATACAGAGAGCTTCTGTTTTCTCCCAATCGAGGATTCTAAGATATACTTCGCGTCGATAATCTTAAACTTCTAGGAAGGAATTAAAAGATAGGATTGTAAATCTTTTATTTAATAATTGCTTGAAATTTGTTAAATCGGGCTAGGAAACAAATTGATTTTGGCAGAAAAGGAAATTATTTTAAAAGTACAAATGAGAACTGGAAGTATTAACCTTGAGGACAAAAATACTCTATAGACAAAAATAAAATTGATTTCAAAATAATAATATTAATGTAAGCGATGACAAAATTTATAAATAAAATTTTTTACTTTATTTCCCACTTGTTTTTTCAAAGTTTCACCGAGTCACAATAATTTAATCACAGTTTCATTTCTTTTTTAATTTATTTATAACATAATTTTAGAACTTATTTAGTATTCAACAATTAAAAATTTATACAGTAGCATTTTCAAGGTCATTCTTTGTGAAAGTGAAATGAAATTTTTCGAAGTTAATCTGTTTTATCAAAGTTAATTTATCAACGTTAATCTATTGGATGAAATGAAAAATAGATTCAATTAATAATAATAATAAAAAAAGTGACCACAGCAATTATTGCATATAGACTAGAAAGTTAAGTTTTCCTTTTAAATACTCTTACTTCATTTGAAGTAATAATTGTAAATTTTCTCTCCTTAACTATTAGGTTAATATTTTTGAAACTAATGTTTCTTGAAAAATACAGGAATTTGAAGGGGAAGGAGGTAATATGCACTGTTGCACTGTCTTAAAAGATTTTAGCAAAACCACAAAACTGTTTTCCACTTCCATATGCACTTGCCTGATAACAAATTTGAGTATTGAGTAGTAAATTTTAAAATATTTTTGATAGAAAAGTAGTTTCTTAACTTTGCTTTTTATTTGCAACTTTAAAAAGTTCTCACTCATAGTATTAAGTAATATTAAGTACTTTAGTATTCATGATTATGCACAGAGAAACAGAGGAAAAAATTGGGTAAAATTACCGTACTGTATAATAACGACCTTCCTAATTAAAATAATAATAATAATAATTTTGGTTAATAAGACTGAAGTAGACTGTATTTTTACCATTTATTTGATAATTTTTTGTGCATTTAGTAATGGTTTACCGGAAATTCTGGTTTTCAAGTTCTTATTACCACACATTTCGGTAAAAAAAAAAAAAAAACTAAAAAGTAATTTTGGCCGAATAAATAGTTGTCATGATAAAGCTACCGATTTTTTCTGCGTTTACCAAATTTTATCATATATTACAGAATTATATTTTATTTTTAATTTTACCAAAATCATTAGCAAATCACTTCGGAAAAAATTATCGAGCATTTTGATTTTCCGATAAGCCAGAAACATGGTAAATTTGACCATACTTTTTATTTTCTCAGTCTGCCATTTACACGTTTCAAAGTTATTTTATTTTCTTAATTTGGGTAAATTACTCACACATCAAGCATTAGTATATGTATTCATTAAACTAAAATAATCGTTAGTTAGATTCCTTTTTTTGGGGGGGGGGAGTGAATTTATAAAAATTGATCTCTTGCCTCTCTCTTTCTTATACAGCATTAAAGAGTCTTATTTTCCAAAACTGTGCATGTATTGTCTTTAGAATTCGTTCTTGTTACATTAAGAAACAAATTATGCGTAAGAATTATGCATCAAAGTTTTTCCCTTATTTAATAATTTATTTATTTTTATTGGAAAAATGCGAGTCTTCTTGCTTTTTTTTTTCTTTTTTTTTAAAAAAAAAATAAAATATCTAATCAATATATTCCAAAATTTTAATTCTCTACGCGAAAGGAAATTTATATGATTATTTATTTCGAATTCAAAAAATATTTTTCTCCTTAATGAAATTACGGAAAAATTATACTGAATTTTTTCCTATTGTATTTATTGTAAATTAGAACATTATAGTTCGAAAAACTATTTGGGTGAAGCCAAATCGGATACCTGCAGCTGGCGTCAAGCATGGGTAAATCGTAGCAAATGCTTATGCCACAATACAGATACCAATCAGGTTCGATGCAGGCGTATGACATCGCTTGCAGGCAAACAATTTAATCTGATCTGAGCATTTTTCAGAGTGATAGTAAACCAAGCCTAATAGCTGTAATGTTAACGCATCATGGAAAACCATGCGATTTCAGGGGTCTCCTTCTTCTCGAGTTGCAAATTCTCAATTGCTCAAGTGCACAATCGACTTCACTCGCTGCTAGAAAATAAAATTTAACTTGTTCATTTTCTCCTTAAATTTTACTTTAAAAAATTCCCAAATACATTGAAATTCATCTTTAAAAAATTAGTTCATTTGTCAGTCGCAAGTTTAATTTCCTTTTGTTTACATCATTGATAATAATTCTGGATCTATATTGATTAGCGAATACCAATTTTTCTATAAGTAGACTTGTATTTTTGTCCCAAGCCAAAACAAAAGGAAAACTCTTGCATCAAACATTAAAGAAATTCGCCTGCCTGAAAGATATTTTGAATGAAACTAGCAGCAATCATTTAACTTGGGGAGGAAAGCTTCTCACTGTTAGCTTGACTTCAAAGCACCATAATCTGCCTACCACTGTGGATATTTCATTTCAGCACTAAAGTCGGCACGAGAGAAAGTATTTGAAATTGACCAGTCATTGTTGCGTTGCAGTACTTTGTCTTCTTTTTCAGGAATCAAGCACTATCCAAAAGATTTAAAAAATATAATAAGAAGTTAATATTTTTCCCTAGTAATTATTCTCTAGTAACTGTATCTAACTGTATCTCTCCCTATTAACTGTATCTAAGAAATTATGCTTATGTATTGAAATCGAAACTCGAATTAAATACAAATGTGCAAAAATAAATAAAGCTAAATAACTTGAAAAAAAAAAAAAAATCCATGNTTCTTATGTTTTATTATGTATGATGGTAAAAAATTTATTCTTATCATTATATATATATATATATATATACTATATACAGCGAATATTTTTTTTCAGTGCAGAAACACAAAACGACAGAGGGAAACAAAAACGCAGAAAAAAATTATTAACAAGTTACAACACGGAAAAAAAGGGAAACGGAACCTGCTTATGTAGCATTGTTTGTGTTTTTTCACGTTGTTTAGTAACATTCCTATAAAGAACAAAGTTAATCCTTTCTTCTCTTATACGAAAAAAAAACAATAAAGAAATAAAGTAAAAAAATAAAGAAATAAAATAAAAACTATTTGCTGTGGAGGGAGGAGGAGATCGATTTTTTTGTGGTTACGTTATTACATTCTAGTTTTTTATAGTTTATTTGTAAGATTTTTTTTTTTGAAAATGTATTTGATGTCTATAGTTGTATACTATTTAACGTTTTTTACTGCTACATTTGTATTTTGATCTGCGTCTCAAAAGTGTTTTCTTTTGCAGTTTCCCGGCTGATGGGTTCTTCAACGGGGATGTCTATGTCCAATATGAATATGTCCAGTTTGAGTGCTTGCAGTGTTGCAGCGTCGGCAGTTGACCAAAAAACAGTGGCCGGTGTCCAGTTCCCCTTAACTCAGCGTCGCAAACGCCGGGTTCTTTTCACTCAGGCCCAGGTCTACGAGCTGGAGAGGAGGTTCAAGCAACAGAAGTACCTCTCTGCTCCGGAGAGGGAACACCTGGCCAGCCTGATCCACCTCACGCCTACGCAGGTCAAGATCTGGTTCCAGAATCACAGGTACAAGTGCAAACGGCAAGCCAAAGAGAAAGCAATGGCCGAACAGCAGCAATCCCAGTCCCAATCGCCACGGAAAGTCGCGGTGCCGGTGCTCGTCAAAGACGGCAAGCCCTGCTCGACAGGGTCGGCCGAAGATGACGGCAGCAGCGGAGCCGGCGACCTCCTCCAGAGTTCGGCGCTGCAGCAGCAGGCTTCCCATCAGCATCAACAACAACAACAGCATCACCAGCCGCAAGTTTCGGTCGGCGGTGGTGGGGCGCACAGAAACAGCTGCCTGGGTGACTCCTGTGCTCAAAGTTCGGCAGCAGTTGCTCGTGTCCATCACGCCTTGGCCCAACAATCTACATGTTCCTTGACCGGTGGTGGGTCAGCCGCGGCAGCTCTGCAAGGAGCCCTTAATGGCATGAGTGGGTATGGCCAGGCTGTGGCCGGAAATCTAGACTTAAGCGCAGTTACCAATGCCGCTATGTGCCCTTCTTATTTACAATTACAAGGTAGGACTTGGTAATCACATCTCCTTGAATTCAAAACTGAAACAATATTTGTAAATATTTATAGATTCCTCTTTAAGCTTCAGTGAGATGAAAATTGTACATATATTTTGATGATGTCGCGCACGTGAAATTATTAAATCAATTTATCGTCCAAAACTAGTTCGATCATGAGAGCAAGATGGTATACTAAATGAAATGATATTCTTTTTAATTGAAACAAAGGATACAATCTACATTAGTGAAACCACTGGACAATTATTGGTCAGCGAAAATTTCTAAATTATTCTTCAACCGAAAAACCAAGAAATGTACAAAAAGCGTTTGCATTCTTACTAAATGCTGAGAGTTTAAATATTGATTTATGATATTTTTTAACAGAACAATTCAACATTGTCTTATGTTATATCAAATATTTTTGCGGTGACCAAAATTAGATGCTTCATACTACTTCAAAATTATATTTATTAATATTAGAAAGAGGAAAATATTCTATATAACTTAAACTAAATTATAGTTCAGCAATAGTAGATGAATTGAAACTATTTGATTGATGATTCAGTGTTTTTTTAAAATTTCACAAAAAGCATTTTTCTGTTGAATATATCTTATTTATTAGTGTATAATATATTTTTTTTTCCTACTTCCATGCTGTTTTCAATTTTTCGTGATATTATTCTTCAATTGAAAATAGTGAGCAATGTAATAATATCAAGTCACATCATTAAGTGTGTTTTAAGAGTGCTTTTGGGGAAAAATAACGTGTTCAGAAGGTACCCATCGGGAAACAATACTGAGGTACAGTTTAACGTTGAAAAACTGTACTTTTTAAAAGCGTGGTTCTTTCACTGAAAAAATAAAACCAAACTATGCAGTATTCAAATCATTCATTTGTTATCATCAGTTTACCGAAAATTCCGGTTTTCAAAATTATTGCTCTTATTACCACACATTTCGTAAAAAATACAAAACTGAAAAGTAAATTTAGCTAAATGAAGGGTTTTTATGCCATGCTCTAATGTATCAAGATAAAATTACCAAATTTTATCACATAATTTAAAACCATATTTTATATTTAATTTTACCAAAATCATTACAAAAGCACTTCGATAAAAGTTACCGAGCATTTTGTTGTTTCCATAGCTTCAAAAAAATACTATAAATGTAGTAAAATATTCTGGTAATTTTGGATATACTTTTTTTTCTCATTGTGTTAGGAAAATCGTGATTATGAATAATATAGTAATTTAATATTTTAAACGATTTTAAATTAATATTCAAATACAATTTAATAAAAAATATTTAAATGCTTTAACACTTATCACTCTTTAATACGAACACAAATGGTAACTATTTTGTTTAAATAATAAAATATAATAAATGTATTATTTTAGTATAAAATTTATTTATAAATAATAAAAATATGTTATTAGAATTATTACTACTTTACATCAGAGAAATTTGTAATATAATCATTATTAATGTAAAATTCAAAAAGAAATTTTTTTTGGTATCAAAATAATTTAATTTAAATCTATCTCTTTTTTTAATTTATAAATTTGGACATCAGTATAAAAACTTATCGGATGTTCTTAAATTCTGTTCCTCATTTTATTACATTCAATTCTTAAAAAAGATATTTTACAATTGATATTAAAATATTGATTTTGTGGCAAAAATATTTCTATAAATTTTTTTTAAAATTTGATATCTATCTTTTAAGTACATTCATTAAAAAAATGCTTACATAATTGCTATATAATCTATTTTAGTAGTATTTAATGAAAGCAGCATTTTATGTGATGTCAAAAATTTTAAATCATGATGCATGAAATGAATTAATGTGGTGAAATTAATAAAAGTTAGAAATCACAATCTCTTTCTGTTACAATTAATTTAAACTCTATAAATAAAAGAATTTGTTGCAAAACTCTCCAGTTAATAGTTTTTGTACTGAAAACAGTATATAATTCTTGATACATAACATTACTATGTTTTAGAAATTCTATAAACTAAATAATTTTATTGAACAGAAATTAAAGATTTTTCTTTTGATTAGAAACAGTATAAACTAAAAAATTTTAGCTAAAAATCTAATTAAAAAGAAATTAGTTTCTTTTAGCTTTAATTATTGTAACGTCCCTTTTTTCAAAGTATTTGTAGTTAAGTTAAATTAGTAAAAGCAATAAACAACACTCAGCTAGTTTAATTAATTTCTATCGAACACAATTTTATTACTTACTGTGGAACACAACTTAACTAATTTATTGTAAGCAAATCATAAAACAGTTTAAAAAAATTTAAAAATTTGGGTATTTTGTAAGGGAAAAAAGTGCTAATGTAATTATTGCATTAATAAGCTGATTTCGCAGTATTGAAATTTGATTACACGCATTGCAATTATATATTTTATATATAAGTCATTAAAATGTATTTTTACATCCAAAAGAAAATAACAAAATTTGTTTACTCAATGTAAAATCCGCACTAACTCTTGTAGGGTTTAAGGTTTCAAATCATAAACGAAGAATACTTTTTTGTACAGATATTATTCCAAATTTCATTAGAGAATTGTTGCATTGTAAATTTGTTGCCCATTGATGTTTATTGTAAAAGTCTTTCCAATGATTTTTGTAAATATAATAATTTGATAATATTTACAAAGAGAAATTAAAAATAAGCATTCCAGAAAATTGTTGTCCTTCTTTGTCTATTAGTATGTTAATTTTGAGCTTAGAGAATATCAAACAAATGTTAACAAGTTAAAGCTGGACGGATGTCTATTATATAAGTATGTTTAAAAAATTCTAATATGAAGTATATTTATTTGCTGGAGTAATGGTTTTTAATATAGTTACAGTTAACAATAAAGGAAACAATAGATAGGATGTGTTCGGTTTCAACGTTAACTAAAGTTACTAATTCAAAACAATTTTACTTTTTTTTTTTGGAAGTGGTAATTTTTATAAGAATTTTGATAAAAACAAATTTTTCCTTTTAAAAGAAATATAAATTTTATTTCAAATGTTTGCATTTTTTTCAAACAGTTTAAAAACGCATATAAATATTGAATGAATTTGTAGAAAAATGGTTTTGTTTCAAAAATTTAATCAAAATTTTTAATATTTTCTTTGAAATATTGAAAATTGATTTAACCACACATAAGAACACTGACATTGTATCAAATTACAATATAAAGTATTGGTACTTTGCATCGTTCGTAAAATCTGTTTTTACAGTAAAATATTATACTGTAATTTTTGCAGCAATATTTATTTAAATAAAGTGATTCAGTGATTTTGCCAAAATAATTGCTGTAAAAAATACGATATATCAGACCTTTTGTTCAATAACATGTTGCAGTAAGAATAGATTTGAAGGAAAAAATTAACCTGAGTGCCGATACTTTTTACCTCAATTTGATCCAGAATTTCTCACAGTGTAAATAGCAGTTATTTTTCCAAAGGTAATGAAAATTAAAACAACAATAAGTAATTCCAAGTAACTATAATGCTTTATAGCGTAACTGCAATGAATATTTTATTAAAGACATGGTTGTTAGAGAAAAACATTAATAAAAAATTTATAAATAATTTTATTTATTTTAAAATAACTCGTTTTGCAAAAAGAAAAATATAATAAAATAAAAAATAAAAAATAAAAATTCCATCTAAGATGAGAGATACAGAACAGCAACAGTAAGTTATTTTAATTTGATATCTTTAAGCAACTTTACAAACATTCATTGATGCAATACATCATCCTTTTCAGCTCTTTTTGATTTTAAAACAGCAAATCAATTCATAATGCAGGCACTAAAAAGACACATAGAGATAGAGGGAGCATACAGCTGTTTCGACGCTATGCGCAACCCTGATTCTCAGTTTTCAGACAGAATATGAGCATTAATTGTCTGTACACTGTGTATATTATTACAAGATGTATATTATTTAGTTGTGTGAATGTTTTTTTTAATTTTTATTATATACCTCTATAAAGGGAACATTTTTATTCCAAACTGACTCTTTTTGAAGAAAAGGTAGCCATTTGTGAACTGTTTTTGTAAGTAAGATGAGAAAAAAATCATAAACTTAAATACTTTTTGCGAACTACTATTACACTTGTAGAATTCAATACGTACTATTAAATGAAGAAAGTAATTATGAGACCTTTGATAAATTAAGCAACAATATTAACAATTTTCAGAAATATTGTATTATCCCAATCAATTCCTACAAAAACTATAAATACAACTTTATAAAATTATTTTTATTGCATAAATGATTGTATTTTTATACTTAAAATTAAAACAACATAATATTTGGGAGGAAATAACACTTAGTAAATTTTTTAATAGATATTTTGAGTCAAAAAGCCATAAGATGTCAAGGAATATAGACACTTTGTGAAATTTCAGTGCAAAATTAAAAAAAAGAAAGAAAAAAATATGTAAGATTTAGAAGATATGTAAGATTTGTAAGATATGTAAGGAAGATATGTAAGATTTTTAAGTAAAGAAGGAAAAGAGTAATTAAAGAAAAAAATGGCGGTTTTTCGTTAATTGTAAGAATACAGGGAATTATGACTCACTCTTTTTTTTTCGAGTTATGTAATACGGGAAATTTTTCTTTTTCTTTAAAAATTGATAATAATAATAAATTTGGTTCAAATGCATGTAGAAACATGATAATAAAAGAAAACATGCTAATTGTGGAATATTTAAAGCACATGTGCAAATGGAAACAAATATCTCGAAATATAACTTTTAAAACAATGATATATTTACATGTTATTGTGGAGGTGAAATTTTCGAGCATTTATCAATTCTAATAATTATTTTGAAAAGTTTAAAAAATTTTTACTTTATTGGATTTTTGGTGGAGATGATGTAGAGTGTATGACATGAATATTTTACATTAAATGAAATAGAATTTTTTTAATAACTTATGTAACAGTCCTTTTTTTTTAAATTCTCAATATTCTTCTATTACATTAGAACTACACTCTAAAAACTGTGCTGTAATATTTCTTTGAATATGATGCTGAACTACAAAAAAAAATTTGTATGAAGGAGCTCCTTACTCCAGGTTAACACAAAATCAAGGGTTCATATGCGATTTAAAGGGAGTAAATTAAATCTAAGCAACTAAAATGGAATAATCTTACATCAGACTTTCGCACTTTTACACAGTACGATTTTCACTTACATATTTTCATTTCCAAGAGCACCAATATTGGCATGCTATCAATGTCAAAAATTAGAGAAACGCCAAGAATATCACCAGTATTTCATTAGCATTCCGGAATGAATTGGCGAGAAATGATTGATGTTTTCTACGCTGGATACAACAGAAACGAAAATTCGACGTTTAAGTATGCATGTATGTTTTTATTTGGGAAAAAAGGACAATTATCTTTTAATTTTCAAATATTTGGAAACTCTATTAAATGATTTTATGATGTATAATTTCTATCTGTTTCCATTCTGTTAACTTAATTCTGTCCGTTAAAAGTCGGTTATGTTTACAAACTAATTTTATTTTAAGAAATATTATGTATATATATAAACACAAATAAAGTAAAAATAAAATAATATAAAAATAAAATGATATAAAATAGAAAACTATTCATATGAAAAACCAAAAGTCTTCTTCACGACGCATCTTTTGGTATAATTTAATGCGATATTTCTGAATATATATAATTGCAAAAAAGTGTTTCTCAATATAAAGTAAAAATGTGTCAAAATAGCTGAGAAACAAAAAAAAAAATAGTCGAATATTCTATTGGGTATAATATGAAAAAAGCACAACTACTTCCACTTACTAGGAATAACATTTACCTTTTAGTTTAATTAATAAACTGAGTTTTAAATATGTTTACTAAATTCATAAACTTCGGTAAAATAACAATATAGATTATTTCCAAAGGAACTAGACTAATACAATTCCAACCTGGCGAGTAGCAACTTATAACAAGACACTTCGTTTGATGCTTTTACTTGTTGCTAGAAATCAGGTTCGCAGAAAATGCTGTTTACTAGTTAAATTTAGTAGGAATAACACGATCTGTGACGTAGGCTATAGTATACCCAATTGCATATGAGTATATGATGTTGTATTCAAATTCGATTACTATTTGTTTCGGATCTATTTTGACAAATTTTTGCTCAATTTTAAGAAACCCTTTTTTGCACTGTATATATCTTTACCGGAACTATTGTTGCATATAACAGACGATATTAAAAACACAAATCAAATGCAGCTGACGATATTAAAAATACATATCAAATGAAGCAGACGATTTTTTTTATCGTAATGAGCGTGAAAACAAAGTTCAAACTATAATAACGTGAAAAAAA